GGGTGGTGATCACCTGAGGGCAGGAGTTCAAGACCAGCCTGGCCAACATGGTGAAAAACTATCTCTACTAAAAATACAAAAAAATTAGCCGTGTATGGTGGCAGGTGCCCATAATCTCAGCTACTCAGGAGGCTGAAGCAGGAGAATTGCTTGAACCCGGGAGGCGGAGGTTGCAGTGAGCCGAGATTGTGCCATTGCATTCCAGCCCAGGGGACGGGGGCAAGACTTTGTCTCGAAAAAAAAAAAAAAATTTAGCCAGGCATGGTGGTGCTTGCCTGTAGTCCCACCTACTTGGGAGGCTGAGGCAGGAGGATCACTTGAGCCTGGGAAGTCCAGGCTACAGTAAGCCATGATCGAGCCACTGCACTCCAGCCTGGGTGACGGAGCAAGATCCTGTCTCAAAACACACACACAGGCCGGGCCCAGTGGCTCACAGCTGTAATCCCAGCACTTTGGGAGGCAAGGTGGCAGGATCACTTGAGGTCAGGAGTTCGAGACCAGCCTGGCCAACATAGTGAAAAATACAAAAAATCACTGGACATGGTGGTACACACCTGCAATCCCAGCTACTTGCGAGACAGAGGCTTGAGAATTGCTTGAACCCAGGAGGTGGAGGTTGCAGTGAGCTGAGATTGCACCACTGCACTCCAGCCTGTTGAGACTCTGTCTCAAATACACACACACATACACACACGAAGTCTAGTTCTAGTGTGTTCATGCCATATATATATATATCAAACCCAGGCATTGTAGCTCAAATCCAAGGCTTGGCCTGGCCCCTCTGTCTCACCCTGTTGGGAGCTCTCAGAGGAATGAGCAGCCAGCTGGGCCCAGCTTTCCCTCCCCTAGGCTAGAGTAGAAATGGGAGCCAGAGCCATCTGCTCCTACCTCTGTGAGGCGAGATGTCCTTGGCGTGCCTCTCCAGCCCAGCCCTACCTCCAGCAACTGGGCTGCCTGCACCTGCAGGGAGTGGGCATCCAAGAGCAGGTGGCTGAGGCCTGGGCGTGGTAACAAACATGAAACTCATGCCCTTGTACACTCAGGTATACATTCCTCAGAGGGGCCTTGCTCGGCTGCCGGCAACCCAGGGCAGCATTGCTCCATCCCCTTTCCCCGGCTTGGCGTCCAGCATAGCCCACGCCTGCCACTATCTCCAGCTCCCTTTCTTCACACTCACTTCTTCGGCATGTATTTATTGGACCCCTACTATGTCTCCAGCACAACTGAAGACCTGGGGGTGGCGGGGTGCAGTGGCTCATGCCTGTAATCCCAGCACTTTGGAGACCAAGGTGGGTGGATGGCTTGAGCTCAGCAGTTTGAGACCAGCCTGGGCAACATGGCGAAGCCCTATTTCTATTTAAGAAAAAAAAAAAAAAGATTGTTAAAAGAGGACCTGAAAATAAATAAATACAAATTAGCTGGGCACAGTGGGTCATGCCTGTAATCCCAGCACTTTGGGAGGCCAAGGCAAGTGGATTACTTGAGGTCAGGAGTACCAGACCAGCCTGGCCAACATGGTGAAACCCCATCTCTACTAAATATACAAAAATCGGCCTGATGCAGTGGTTCATGCCTGTAATCCCAGTACTTTGGAAGGCCAAGGTAGGAGAATTGCTTGATCTCAGGAATTTGAGACCAGCCTGGGCAACATAGTGAAACCC